TAACATGCTAAGACGGCCATCACTTTTTTTTTCCCTTATTTTTTTTAACGCATTGTACAGATAGTACTTAGCCGCGCACCAAGATCTCCCCTGGACATTATACCCGAGAGGGTTCTTGATCCAGTACTCATAAGATTATTGTTTGTTTGTTTGTTTATTTAGGAATCTCCCATTAGTGATAATATGTACTTCCTGGAGTCCTGTACACATAAAAATACAACTATTATTTACATTTACATTCAACTGCTATCATTGACATTATGCTACAGGAAAACTTATCTTACCAACATAGTAAATTTTAAGCATCAATTATTACATCAATTATTACAGCACTATACAGCCATCACTATACATGTACAGCCATCAATCAATAATATTACACTATACAATTAGCCAAAAAAATCATTAAAGCGAATGGGTACCCATGGTAGCTACTCACTTTGCTTGTGGCTTTCCTTGCTGCTACTGCTTCCATGGCTCCCAGTACTCTGCAGAGAACAAGGGTGGGAATCAAAGTCTGCAGCTCAACCTTTCCCAACTGGAGGATGAGCTACAGAGTACATGCCCTGACGGTTAACAACACAGTTTGCTTGCTGCTTTGATACCACTTAGACTTAGGCCTGTACAAGATGAAATGTTTATGAAAAGAGATGACGACAACAGTCCAGAAAGGGTTGGAGATCTTATTTATTCATGTCTGCACTGCGATGTGATTGTGAATGTACTACACAATTGGTACAAGTGCCGGGGGAAAGGCAGGCTTGTCCATTGTGCGAAATAAGTTATATACAACAGTTATAATGGTGATCACAATGTACACATGGGTGGATGGATGGAGTGATGTGAGCTTCAATCAGACTGGCCCTATGGTGTACACATCAGCAGTTTATTGTCAAATGCATGACAAGGTTTTCTGCTTTGAAAACAAATGTCTGGTGGTTATGTAGTACATTATGTTACATGTAGAAACAGATACCACTGTCACTCATCACAAAAGAAATAGTAAACTGCTGTTTGGCTGGCTCCAAAATATGAAGCCAGCTGGTCAATTCTGATATTATTCAAAATGCAACTTCCAACAGTGCTTTTGTTAGTGCCTTATTTTGAACAGACCTTATTTTAAGCAGAAATGGCTCTGAGTCAAACAAAGTACCTGGGCTTGTATTTCAACATTGACCAAGCCATAAAAATCAATGAATCCCCTCCAATTTCCAAACCAACATGTTAATCTTCTCATAGATAAGTCCATACCTTCATTTACTAGCCTTCAGGTTAACCCTCCAAGTGTAAAGTAAATTTACGTAGTAAAGTTAGCCTTGCAAGGCATACATCGCATGTACTGGTAGGGCCGATCTAATTGACCATGAGATTTGAGTATTAAACAGGCCTTGGGCTGCTTCGATTGTCCTGTGATTTTTTTCTTTTCTAAGAAAGACTTCAATTCATTTATTTTCAATGCTTTCTTGTTGAGCTGAATTTAATGCTATTTTGCACAGAGTTTGCTGGTTTGTGTTGAGACTTTGGCATGCGGATATGCTATTTTGTAAACAAGAGTACACACCAAGCTCGCTCTCTGGTGCTCTCTCACCCCCCTCCTAATCTGCAACCTTTTCTGCAAAACAGATAATTTTTAACTAACATTTTCCAACTTGATGAAATGCAGAATGAGAACACATCCTTTTATACCATTCAGTCATTCACTAGACTTGGAAAGTACCTTCCAACTGAAATGGAATGAAGCTTAGGACACTTAGTTTATTCTTCAAAATATTATCCTCCAATTTTGAGCTTTTTTTATCTTTCCAAGTTGGTTGCCTAAACAATGCCATAGTATGATACTGACCTGTCTAAACACTATGCTTAGTGTAACATACTGTCAATATTCTTCACTAATACTAAATACTAATACTAAATTGCCATCTTTACGTTGCTATGAAAAAACAAACAAAACTATTAACTGTCCATATTGCATTTCTGGATGTAAGTACTGACCAGACCACAGCTGCTGTATGTGTGCATTGTGATGTTTGACATCTGTATGTTCATTGCAGCTACGGTTCATTACAACTTGGTAACTTTTCAAATGTATGGTCAGATGTAATGACATAAGACTACAATGTAGATCCTGTACTATGTATATGTCTATCTGTATATTAGAAGGCAAAAGACAACTACAAAGACACTGGTAGCACAAATTGCTATTACATGTATTTACAGCAAAAAATGATAAAAGATCAACAATCATGATTCAGTGGCATTAGTCCAATATCATTAATTAAAAGTTACACAATTGCAATATACAGTTCTCCTGCTGGTTTCTACCAATATGTGCTAATGAGTACTATACAAAAGAACAAGTCTAGAATCACAGAACACTGTTCTGGCTGGCTTTCCAATATCATTATACAAGTTTTTTTCTGGCAAGTGCTGCTATTCCAGCATGTATAAATTTAACTCAAGTAGTTTAATGTACTCTTCTTCCTATGTGCTCAGTGAGCACTTTTACAACAGGGCGCATTATCCTATCATAACAACTATTAAAATTTTGACACATTAAAAAAGATATGAAATTCATGAGTCAATAGTTACCCTCTGAAGTCTACATTAAAGGGGATAACTTTGTACCAAATTCTATGAAGGAACATGATCTGAGTTCTTACTGGAGTTGATTACTGTACATATTACCTACAGTTTCTGCTATGGACAAATACAAAGTAGTTGAATTAAGCAGCACCTTCTACTGACTATGCTGATTTTATCACTAGAGATGAGCTGGAATTACTACCACTACATTCACAACATCTCACTGGCAATGTTAGCTTCAACAATGCATTCAAAATGAACAAGTTTCTTCTTTTTTTCCAATAAAAACATTGAATACCAGATTACAATATTTAACAGTCCAATGGATTTAATTCAAGACTACACTTGTACTATTATTATGCTCATTTATTCTGTACATATAATTAGCATCTACCATTGCAGCACAATTTAATTATTCATAGTTTTTGCTACATTTACCCTGATATTAAAAGCATCACAATGAGCTACATGTACAGCTACATAGAGTCCAGAGTTGTCAGAAAAAGATAAATTCTGAAGACCAGTCCTTAAAAAACTTTTTTTACATTTGAGTTCAGCACTGCCAACAAATCTATAATGCACAATGTTGACAACATATGAAACAGAACTTCTCCATACGTTCCCTATATGTATAAATAATGTCATATCTGAACCTTACAACAATGTAAGTGTAAGTGTAATACTTGGGTCTAACAACAAAGCTAATCCACAAACAAATACATGTCAGCATTTGTCTGTATGTATCTAAAATAAGGTCTGCTCTGTCAAGACTTAATACAAACACGAGCAATGCACCAGGAGCCAGTCACAACTACAGCAGGCACCATTGGTGATACCTTTGAATGAAGAAATAAATTTCATATTTTGTTGGTAAAAGCAACAAAAGGATGGGTGCAGACCCACTTTTCACCATGTGTAAGCTAATTATACCAGTCTTGCCGCTAACAATTCGTAATCATCATTAAAAATTATCATCAAAGAATGCTGGAGCAAAAGTGGTGATGCTTGAGATATGAGCAGGGTAATATGCAGGAATACTGGCAATTTTGTCCTATTCATGAATGAAAATTATTGTACATTTCATTAAGTTTTGTGATTTGCCACCAATTTTAATTAGAGCAGAAAATGGTCATTGAATTTAAATTAAAATCAATAGATTTACATATATCGACTGCTAAAACTAGATAATAGTATATAAAAATAATTGGACAAGTCTACTCTAAGACATTGATATCAAAATCACAATTTTCTTAAAATATTCAATAAAATCACTTTTCAGTGGTTGTTTTGTACCCAAATGATATGAGAAGTTGGAATTATGTTATCAACAGCTTTTTTTCATGATTAAAAACTTTCAAAGTTAGTCTTCATAATTGTTTCAACATTTACAGCAGTGAGATACCCAGGACAAGTAATAATTTTACTGAAATATATTCTACATAAAAAAGCCAGGAAGCTGGCAACATGCACAGCTCTTTTTCTCTTACAAATGCTAAAATTTTTCTTGAATACCGAAGTTTCATTTTGATTTCTGAGGAATGTTATCAATTCAGCAGCTTTAGATTTTCTAATTTTTTTACTGGCAATCTCTGTTTTGTGACTTCAAAAGCTGGTTTCAATCAATGACTGTAATTTCTCATTAGTTAACTTAAAATTATTGTAGAAACCAAACTTGGTAGCTGCAAGACAGTATTAAATTGGCAAGACAGTATCAAATTGGCAGGGCAGTACTTACTTGTCACCCAACATTTGCCTGACGTTAAAAGAAAGATAGCACAAAAAAGAAAGCCTAAAAACACATAAAAAAATAAGCCTAAGCCTAAATGTCTGCTAGTAGAGTAAAAAAAAATGGCACATTTCAAAATCTTTTACAAAATTTCATAAAATCAGCAAAAAATGGCTGATCACTTCAGAGTCCATACAGAGTCCATCCAATCCAAATCTTGTCTAAAAATGTAACAGAAAATGAAGAATTAAAAAATGTCTCCCTGACCAAATGTCATGTCCCTCAGTTTTCAATAGCCAAGGAAAGGTTTAGTGTTGCTCCCAATATATGTGATGATCATATATACAAAATTTTAATTCACTGGCATTTGATGAATTTCTTATATTTATGATAATGAGAAGCCATGATTCTTCTTTCTCTTAAGTTTACTTGCAAATAGAAAGTTGGATTTATATTATTACCATTGACCTGACCAGTATATACATGGAGAAGCAGAAGTCCTTAACTGTAAGTTGGTTTTTGTGTGCCAAGTATAGCACGTCAGCAGAATGTACTGTGCCTGTGCAAATTTTTTGCAGTTTTCGTTGGATGTTTGGTCAACGTTGCATCAAAATTTCGCCTGTTGCAGAGGATATCTTTTCCGACACAACATTTGGAAACTACAGACGGGATGTTGACCTTATATACGCAAATACAACCTTATATGAGACGTTCTGCCTAAGTGCTGTGCACAATACATTACGGGTTTCGCGCAGGTGCAGTACGTTCTGCCGACGTGCCGCAAAACTACCCCGTAACCGTGTCCTGGTCCTCGTACGTAGCCAGTATCAGAGACCCGATGACGCTGAAACCGTTGCTCCCCGAGTTTTCCCCGCCCCTGTTCATCCCCCCGTCCTGTATCTGTGCCTCCATCTCGTGTTCATCGTCCGAGCCTTCCGCGTGAATCATCTGCAGACCTCCGGATACCTCCGGCTTGGGTGAGACACCTTCAGGCATAGAGGCCAGGGTTAGTTTAGAAGTCAGCCCGTACCCCTCCTCTGCATCACCGCCCCCCTCCCCCTGGGACGTGAGCAACGTCTTCCTGTCCATCTGTTGTTCCTGGGTTAGCGCGCTCTCCTCGTTTGCCCCCTCCTGGCTGGAGAGAAGCTCGAACATATCGTCGCTGGGGTGCTGCTGCGAGCGCCTGTTTCTGGGGGCCGAGTACTGTCGGCGGTGCTTCTTACGCGTCTTCGGGACTTCATCTTCCGCCTCCTTCATCACCTCCTCCTCCTCCTCATCCTCCTCGTCTTCTTCCTCCTCGTCTCCGTGGTGATCGGCTTTCGCCTGCTTCTTGGTTCTCTTGCCGCCGACCTGGGCGCGTGCGTCGTAGCTGCTCTCGCGCCGGCGCTTCTTCATGCTCGAGACGAAGTAGCAGATCTTCTTCTTGGACGGCGTTTTGCCGCGGTCGACCTCCGGGTGGTGCTGGATGACCTCGTAGATGTCCGACGTTGACTTCTCCTTGTTCAGGCTGCGGAAACAAAAGACAAAACTAGAGAGGTTAACATTTGCAAAGTAGCTACATCTTCACATGGTCTAGCCTAACAAACTACCGCTCTTTTTATTCATAGATATGGTGACCAGTCCGTCAGGCTGTGGAAACAAAAGGAAATTTTTAAAAAATTTTGTTTCCTTTAGCCAGGGTAGCCCGTTCAGTGATAAAACACTGCTTTGTAGTGGGACCTGGACACAGGATGCAGTCATTGAAAACATACAAATAATACAAGTTAGAAACAAAACAATACTTCTCTTTGTTCAGGCTGTAGAAAAAAATCAGAAGGTAACTAGACGGGTTTCAGGCTGTGGAAACAAAAGACAAACAATGACGTTGATGTCAGGTTAGATATTTAAACTCTACTACTTGATAAATTATGTTGATAATTTCCAGACGTTTCAAGCTACATCCACCATTCTTCTTCAGCGTCACTAATGAACTAACAGAACTCGTTAACACATACATATGAGCAACTGGAAAAAATGGTTGAACATGGTAAAGACTCATATAGTCATTGATATGTAAAGGACATAAGATAGTTACTTAAGTAATGTTCATTTTCACTAGCCTAGCCTAACAAACTACTGCTCTGCTTATTCCTACTTAAACACATTCATATTCATATTTATGAGGGCCAGCCCCTCCAACAATGTCCGGCCACTTGCTACATATTGTAACCCAACACCACAGGGTGTCTACTACAGTACCATTTACCATGGTGACAGACATCTGGTCCATCCTATTTGTTTGCACTGATATACCTGTACCACCAAGAACACAAATATCCACACAGATCCCTACCTGTAGTCCACAGTCAGATCCCATAGATATGCTGACCAGCCCCTCCTACTCTGTCCTGCCACTTGCTACATAATGAACCCACCTATAGTCCAAGATGGGGTCCCATATATATGGTGACCAGCCCCTCCAACTCTGTCCTGCCACTTGCTACATAATGTAACCCATTATGAAAAAGTCAACACAGATATTGTGACCAGCCCCTCCACTTACTACATAATGAACCCACCTGTAGTCCACGATGAGGTCCCGTGTGTCCTCGTCGACCTTGAGTTTCTCCTTGGGGGGCGGGACCCAGGGGAAGGTGCAGTCTGGGGGCAGGTGGCTGCCTGTCACGCGCACGCGCCAGCGCTCAAGGTCGCTCAGGAACAGCTTTAGCGTGATCATCAGCGAGCAGTTGTGCCGGTCCTGCTTGTGGGCCATGCCCTTACAACCTGCCAACCAGGAGAACAGCAATGTAATCATCTGTGTTTGGGACCACATTTGTACTATTTTCTATATCGATTCTTTATCATCTTGGTACTTCACCTTCAGAGGTGAGCCTTATTTCTTGTGTTCGAATCAACTCTAATCCCTCCTCATAACTTTCGGAGATATTTCATCAGTAACAGGAACTTTGAGTAATGACAAAGCATTTTCTTACTACTCCATGACGGATGTGATATTGCATTACAACACACTTAAGCTAGCACTCTGAAGAACGAAAGGTAGCCAAAACATCAAGACTTCGTGCAATAACAGGCAGAGCGACGGCAAAAGTGATTCTTAATGCAGAGAAACCCCTTACCTTCATTGCACTTGCCGTAGCCTCCGCACTTGCGCAGACAGTTGCCATGTCCTGGGCACCACAGATACCACGCCACCACATACTCGTCCCGCGCCTTGCCCTCCTTCACCAGCTGGATCCGCTTGCTGCCTTCCTCCGTCGGCACGAAGAAGTCGTCGTAGCGGCAGCGCTCGTGGATGACCTTCCCGCGCTGCCAGTTGCCCTTGTCCACGGCACTGTTCTGCCGCTGCATGCCGACCAGGTTCCGCTTCACGTCCCGTTTTCCCCGGTTCAGGCTGATCTCCTTCAGCCCGTCGCGCGCCATCAGGAACGTCTTCAGCGGCTGCCCGACACCGATGTACTCGTACTCGTCTCCAGCTTTCTTACTTTTCCTCCGCTTCGACGCCGACGACTTTGCCGCCTGGGAACGGTGCCCCTGCTTCGAGGGGGAGAAATTCAGGGAGTACTTTCGTGGGATGGGCTTCCGCTGCGGGGTAGAGGCCTGCGTCTTTTCTAAGCTGCCCCTGTTCTCTCCCTTCTTGTTCGACTCTTCATCCGAGTCGTTGAAGTCGTAAATGTCTATGTTTTTTTCCTCGTCCTTGATGATGTCGGCCTGCTCCTGGTTCCTGCTCCCGAAGGGAAGAGTTCTGAGCGCAACTTCTCGGTCGCTGTTTGACACGTCGCCCCCCTCATGTGCTGGCTCCTCCCCTCTCCCCTCCGCGCTCTCCTCCACCTCGGGAGCAAAGTGCACGTGGCGAGGAGTCTCTGTCTCCTCAGTGCCGTGCGCGGGTGTAGAATCGTGCCCCTGTGCGGGTGTAGGATGGACGTGCGCAGATGTAGGATGTAGATGTGCACCGGTTGGATGCGCGTCCGCCGTGCTGACCTCCTTCCCGCCGTGGAGAGAGCTCAGCTCACACTCGATCCGCTGAAGCTCCTGGAACGCCAGCGTCTCGTCCGCCCGGGTCTCCTCCCGCAGTTGCTGGCTCGCCTCGGCCGGATCCGCGGCGTCTGCGGGGCAGCGATCGTTCCCCGTCCTCTCCCCCGCAACAGTCAGGTCAACAACCGGGTCCTCGTAGTACACATCAGGTGTTCTGGCAGACACCTGGGTGTTGGCAGGTGTTCTGGCAGACACCTGGGTGTTGGTACGTGCTCGTGTGCACACGTGGTCATCGGCAGGTGTTCTGGCAGACACCTGGGTGTTGGCAGGTGTTCTGGAGCGCACCTGGTCGTCAGCAGGTCTTCTGGAACACACCTGGGCATTGGCAGGTGCTCGGAAACACACCTGTGCAGCAGCAGGTGTTCTCGAGCACACCTGGCTAAGCTCCGTCACCAGCGCCTGTTGGCAGGTGGGCAGACGTCAAAAAACACTTCATCAACCACAGGTGAGAACGTACTGTCACCTCCGGCTGGCCGTGTGCCCGCAGCAAGCCTCCCGAGCGAGCGAAGCGAGCGGCAGGGTCAAACCTGCGCGTTTAGAGTCTGGCCTACCTACAACCCCCGTCTGGGCACGGGGAGGGGCATTCATAATGGTTCCTGTATGCAATGTGCAGTGTGGGGAGGGCGACAGACTGGAGTCAACTCAGAACAACGGGAAAAAACGTTTCTATGTAGATATAGAAAGTTTCATCAAAGTTGTGGAACTTGGTAGTACTGTAAGTTAGTACGACTGTCTATCTAATATCCATGTCGGGAGACATACTCTCCTAATCAGTCATGGACTATAATTATGAAACCACAAGACTGCCATTGCATACAACATTATGAATGCCCCATTTCCACAGCGAGAAATTGTCTATGACTATAGAGAACTTCTCAGGTTATGCTTGTTTGTTTGTTTGTTTGTTTGTTTGTTTGTTTGTCTTGCCAAAAACACAGGAGGCTTGTTGAGCGCAGCATCGGCAGACAGAAGTGACAGGACATCCTAACTACAAATTAACAACTATAATTACTGTACTCGTTAGCTGTAAGCACAATGTTTACTGCTATCCTCTACAGGCCCACTCTACCTCACTACATGGTCATGTTGCTGACAACAACTCTGGTTCACAACTATACAAGTCAGCTATGAACAGTATTACAGGCCTAACAAAGAGTTTTGACTGCACTCTTATGGAAATGGGACATTGCTGAATGTTGTATACACGGCCAAGACACATGTACAATACAATAGATAGAGAGCAATTGCAAGAAGGCAGCTTAAATTTCTGACTATGCTGAGGTGCAGTCATCTGAAGAGAATAACTAGCAGCATATGCCAGCTATTCTCAAATCTGATTGCTGGTGAAATCACTTAACAAATGTTTTCACATCTAACTTCGGTGAACATGCCAACATAGGAAATAGAGTGGGCAGGTAACTACATGTCTCATCGATACAATATTATGCATTACCTTCCCATATACAACATAGCATGTTGTATGGGGTTCACAGGTTTTGTTTAGGTAAAGTATGGAAACAGCAGAATCTACAGTGATGTTGCATAGCCCTCCCGACATGGACATACCAGACCTAGGCTAAATACACGTGTTCCACATACCTTTCCATTGCCAGCAAAAACAGGAGTATTCCTGTGTAATATTTGTAATCTTTGATGCGGTAGTTTTTTTGGGGGGACTGAACAAAATGTAAAACTGCAGGAGTAAACAAAAGAGCGGTACCGAGTGTGTGCTGTGTGCAGGGGTGTAGACATGTGTATATACTTTCGCTGAGCACCTTCTGTTTTTGTAATACGACAATACATGTGGTACTTAGGACAACGGCAAGTCGCTAAACCGAGACCTAGACATAGGATGTAGGGGCTTTCTTTTACACAACCAGCATTGTCTCTTATCTTGTCTACATTTCAGTGTCTATCAGACACCTTCCTCAGAGCTTCTGACTGGAGCTCTGCTTCTCGCAGCTACATGTAGCCGATGTAGGTGGCACTTTTGCGGCAAGAACACAACGGGACGAGGGGGAGTATAAACTCAGCCACGTTTGGAATCGTGTTCTCCCTGCAAAAGCGCCACCTACATTTAGCTGCGAGAAGCAGAACTCCAGTCAGTAGCTCTAAGGAAGGTGTCTGAGAGACACCAAAACGTAAGCAAGGTAAGAGACAATATTGGTTGTGTAAAAAAGAAGACCCCTATATCCTAAACTCTACCAACCTGAAACTACTGTATTTTTGGAAGTAAGACCTACACACTTGTGTGTACTGTTCCAGTAGGATGAACAGGACTTACATGCATAGATGTGGCACTGACTGTGGCTGGGGAGTCCGTGCTGCCGGCCGGGGTTCTGCTGTTCTCCGCGCCGGCAGACATGCCGTCCCCTGTGTTCATGGCATTGTGGGTGACCTGGATGTTCTGTCTGTGGTCCGCCAGTAGGTCCAAGGCATGAGGTAACGCTGGTAGAACAAAGTGGAAGCACTCCTGCACAGGGCAGAAAAACAGTCATGTTAGTAAAGCCACTCCTGCACTGGGAAACAGTTTTGCTCAGTATTATTCCTAATCCTTTTTTCCTAGAACTATTGCAGAGTGGAACTCGCTGTCACCAAGTACAGTAGGGGCACACAAAACAAAACTAACTAGAAAGGAAACTTTGCAAAGCAAATGCATAATGTTTACCTGAACATGGTCCAGCTTAACAAATACTGCTCTTGGCTATTTATTCTTACTCAAACATAGCTCAAGCAAGCGTATTTGCCGACACGTTTGGGTATTTCCAACATTGATTACACAGTATAAGTAGTTGCAAAATTGTATGCTCACTCCAAGAAGTCCTTAAAGGGATACAAAGGAATAATTGCTATCATAACATTATACAGTATAAGTAGCTACAAGAGTATGTTCACCCAATATTCTAAGACTAGCTCACCTGTGAGCCCTTTTTACTGCCTGGCAGGTTGATAATGAGTGTGTTTTTCCTGATTCCACACACGGGCCTGCAGAGGAAAACAATAACAACTTTAGATTCAAAACATATTTCAGCAGGGCACATGCTACTTTTTAATATGGTACATTAGACATGCATGTAGATACACAGATATTACACTGTGTTACTACGTCTTGTGTTGGCAGGCATTCTGAAGAGTATGGTGAGTCTACTAATGCATTCAGTCCTTTCATTTAGTCCTTTTTTATTACTTATTACGCTAGGCTTATGAGAACAGAAATTAGCACTTCACAAAGAAAAAAAATGCCAGTGGTGTGACGTTTAGTGAAATTAGCATTTCAAAAAGAAAAAAAATTGCATTCGGATTTTCTACACAACCCCACCATTTACATTAAGCCTGTTTCTAACAGTTTGACAACCTGTGCGTGCTGTAATCTATCTGCCCATCTCACCTAGACAGCATTGCCAGTGGTGTAACGTTAGTGCATTCAGTCCTTTGTAATGTAGTTTGACAATGTCTCTATGCTGTAATGTATGTGCTCATCTCACCTGGACAGCATTGCCAGTGGTGTGACGTTAGTGCATTCAGTCCTTTGTAATGTAGTTTGACAATGTCTCTATGCTGTAATGTATGTGCCATCTCACCTGGACAGCATTGCCAGTGGTGTGACGTTTAGTGATCCCATCAGCATCGCAACTGCCATGCCCGGAGCCTCCTTCTCGATCACATCCTTGGTGGCCTGAGGAAACAGCAGAAAAAATAATTTGTCAGCATATCAGCCCGATTATTCACCAGTTCAACAACAACAACAGGATATCAGCTCCATTATTCACCAGTTCAACAACAACAACATCAGGATATCAGCTCCATTATTCACCAGTTCAACAACAACAACATCAGGATATCAGCCCCATTATTCACCAGTTCAACAACAACAACATCAGGATATCAGCCCCGTTATTCACCAGTTCAACAACATCAGGATATCAGCCCCATTATTCACCAGTTCAACAACAACAACATCAGGATATCGGCCCCATTATTCACCAGTTCAACAACAACAACATCAGGATATCAGCTCCATTATTCACCAGTTCAACAACAACAACATCAGGATATCGGCTCCATTATTCACCAGTTAAACAACAACATCAGGATATCAGCCCCATTATTCACCAGTTCAACAACAACATCAGGATATCAGCTCCATTATTCACCAGTTCAACAACAACAACATCAGGATATCAGCCCCATTATTCACCAGTTCAACAACAACATCAGGATATCAGCCCCATTATTCACCAGTTCAACAACAACAACATCAGGATATCGGCCCCATTATTCACCAGTTCAACAACAACAACATCAGGATATCAGCCCCATTATTTTTTATTGTTTTATTGTTTTATTGTTTTTATTGTTTTATTTATTGCACATACAAAGTAAAAGCAAAATTTGCAAAACATAAGTATAACAGAACAAATAAACATGCAGGGGTAGAGGAAAAGCCACAGGCTTGTATGACAACTCCCCCCATGTGAACTAACATTATATTCTTACATCAATGAAACAAAATAATGAATCAATTAAAGAAATAAGCAAAAACAGTCATATAAAACAAAATGATCTAGGTTAACATAAGTAAACAAACAATGCATGAACCAAGCAAACAATGCATGAACCAAACAAAACCAATGTGTTTGGCTACAAACAAATGAAAATATAGCAAATTAGTAAATCAATCAGTAAGAACATGAAACAATGTAATAATATATAAGAACGTAGTATGTGAAAAGATGATCTAGGAAAGTGCGGAGTCATTAATGAAATCAGCTTTGACGTGGGATTTGAAAATATTTAAAGATGGACATAGCTTTAAAGTTTTGTTTAGGTTATTCCAGACTGTAGGTCCCCTGTACATGAATGAGAATTGCCGCTGATTAGTTTTTGCAGTAATAGGTCTTATATAATTGCTTTGTCTTGTGTTGTAGCTATGGATATCTGAGTTCAATCTGAAGGTGTTGTAATAGGTTTCAGGAAGACAGGGACATTTTCTTATTATTTTAAACATTAGCAAGCAGGTTTGAAGTCGGTTTATATCATAAATAGTCAGTATTTGTAACTTTTTAAATAAGGGGGCACTAGGGGTAGTGAAGGAAGCTCTTAATGTCATTCTAATGTACCGTTTTTGAAGGAGAAAGAGAGGTTTGAGTGATGTGGAGTACGTAGATGCCCATACAATGTTGCAGTAGGTCAAATAGGGATAAACAAGACTGTAATATAGGGTAATAAACATTTTATGGCATAAGAAATTGCTTATTCTCCGTATTATCCCAATATTCTTATAAATCTTATTACATACGTGATCAATATGATTCTTCCAAGTTAATTTGCTATCAATCAGGACACCTAAGAAGCGAGTATGGGTCACTTGGGTAATACGGATGTTGTTCATTAATATCTTAACATTTTCCTTCGGGTACTTCTTATTCTTAGCTGTAAAAATGATAAAATTAGTTTTTTTGACATTTAAAGATAATTTGTTTGTTTTGAACCACATGTTTACTTTATCTAGTTCTTCGTTTACGGTGGTTATTAGAGTATTAAGATTCTTATGAGATATAAATAAGTTAGTGTCATCAGCAAAGAGAAGGCTAAATAATTTTTGTGAAACAAGTGGCAAATCATTTATGTAAATAAGAAAAAGCAAGGGTCCCAGAATAGATCCTTGAGGAACGCCACATAGAAGTGGATTGGGACGGGATTTGTAAATGCCATTGTTAACATATTGTTTTCTATTCGAAAGGTAATCTTTGAGCCAGCTATGAGTTGTGCTTTGAAAGCCATACAAGTGTAATTATTCACCAGTTCAACAACAACATCAGGATATTAGCTCCATTATTCACCAGTTCAACAACAACATCAGGATATCAGCTCCATTATTCACCAGTTCAACAACAACAACATCAGGATATCAGCCCCATTATTCACCAGTTCAACAACAACATCAGGATATCAGCTCCATTATTCACCAGTTCAACAACAACAACATCAGGACATCAGCCCCATTATTCACCAGTTCATCAACATGTCATGGAAATAGCCTATCTAGAGAGCACGTCGGCAGAATGCACAGCGCGCCTCCGCGAATCCCGTAATGTATTGTGCATTGCACTTTGGCAGAAGGTCTCAAATAAGGCCATACTCGTGGTTTTGCGCAGGGTTTTGCGCAGGTGCAATACATCATGCTAAAACCATGTCTGTGTGCCCTGTAAGATGACAAAGACATAAACATTGTGACAAACCAAGTGTCCACCACTGTCAGACGGCACCACATACCTCTGGTTTACTATAGCTAATAGGGAATGGCTGACCAGTACACATTTCTGTGCCGTGTGGTGGCAAAGGTATGAACACTGTGACGGAGTGTCCACCATTGACAAACGGCGCCACGTACCTCTGGCGTGACGTCGCGCGGGGAGAATCCTGTCCCGCCCGTGGTCAGGATCAAGTTTATCCGCAGGACATCCGACCACTCCAGAAGGGTGTCCTGGAACAACAAACACTCATGGTCATGGTCATCCACTGTTCTAGGGTTAGGGTTAGGTTAGGGTTAGGGTAAGAGTTAGACATCTGACCACTCCAGAAGGTTGTCCTGGAACAACAAATATTCATGTTCATGGTCATCCACTGGTCTAGGGTTAGGGTTAGGTTAGGGTTGGACATCTGACTACTAAAGAAGGTTGTCCAGGAACAACAAATATTCACGTTCATGGTCATCCACTGTTCTAGGGTTAGGGTTTAGGGTTAGGGTTAGGATTAGGGTTAGCTTTAGACATCCAATCACTCCAGAAGGGTGTCCTGGAACAACAAACACTCATGGTCATGGTCATCCACTGGTCTAGGGTTAGGGTTAGGTTAGGGTTTGGGTAAGAGTTAGACATCTGACCACTCCAGAAGGTTGTCCTGGAACAACAAATATTCATGTTCATAGTCATGCACTGGTCTAGGGTTAGGGTTTAGGGTTAGGGTTAGGGTTAGGATTAGGGTTAGGGCTAAGACTAGGGCCAGGGTTAGGGTTAGGGTTAGGGTTAGGGCTAAGACTAGGGCCAGGGTTAGGGTTTAGAGTTAGGGTTAGAGTCAGGGTTTAGAGTTAGGGTTAGGGTTAGGGCGAGGGTTAGGGCTAAGACTAGGGCCAGGTTTAGGGTTAGGGTTTAGAGTTAGGGTTAGGGTTAGAGTTAGGGTTAGGGTTTAGAGTTAGGGTTAGGGTTAGGGTTAGGGTTTAGAGTTAGGGATAGGGTTAGGGTTAGGGCGAGGGTTAGGGTTAGGGTTAGGGCGAGGGTTAGGGCTACAGGATGTAAGACTAGGGCCAGGGTTAGGGTTAGGGTTAGGGTTTAGAGTTAGGTTAGGATTAGAGTTAGGGTTAGGGTTTAGAGTTAGGGTTAGGGTTAGAGTTAGGGTTAGGGTTTAGAGTTAGGGTTAGGGTTAGGGCGAGGGTTAGGGCTAAGACTAGGGCCAGGGTTAGGGTTAGGGTTAGGGCGAGGGTTAGGGCTAAGACTAGGGCCAGGGTTAGGGTTAGGGTTAGACATCCGGCGACTGAAGAAGGGTCAACAACAAACACTCATGTTCATCCACTGTTCTAGGGTTAGGGTTAGACATCTGTCCACTCCAGAAGGGTGTCTTGTGACAGCAAACACTTCTGCTTATCCACATTTCTAGCGTGAGGATCCTGCCCACCTTGATCTCCTGGAAGTCGTCTGGAACACACTTCTGCACCGTCACGATCCCAGCAAGCCTGGAGGGAACACAGTCAAAATAACAGCTCAGCTCAGAAATTTTTGTGGCATGTGGCAAATATTTGTTAAGTGGCATGTTCCTTTCCTAGTCCTGACACTTACAAACAATGGTTACCTCAACAAAGGGGCAAAGTCAGTGGGAGGGTTACCAGACAAAGTCACAAATACGACCCATTGCCAGCACGTACTAAACGCTACCAAAATAGCC